AATTTGACATTTATTTTAATTTGTGCATCTATTCACCCCCTTCTAGATGTCATTTGTCTAACAAGTGGTATCAGATCTTGATTAGATAAAATATTTCTAAACGATCTGTCAAGATGTCTATGCAGAATCAAGTTTACAGGGAATGAGCCTCAATAAACAGACCACCATTATTTGAAGGAGAAGACTCAGTTTTGGAAAACAAGAATGAAAATATTTTTACAAACACTAGATTACGGTGTTTGGGATACTGTACTCAACGGTCCCTACATTCCGATGAGAACGGAGTCTGGAGCTGTTCCAAAGACTTTTGATCAATGGACGCCGGATGAAAATAAGCGTGCCCATTATGATGTAAGAATCCGAAATGCTATTGTTTCTGCCTTAACTCGTAATGAATTTTTCGGGGTATCACAATGCAAGATGGCAAAAGAAATATGGGACACTCTTGAAGTAACACATTAAGGAACAAATGAAGTAAAGCGAGCACATAAGAACATACTCATCCAGGAGTATAAATTATTTCAAATGCAGCAAAATGAAAACATCACGAATTTCCAAACTGCTTCACACATATAATAAATCACTTGAAAGTATTAGGAAAAAATTTTGACAATGAGGAGTTGAGCACAAAGATCTTAAAATCCTTAGACAGGAATTGGCAACCAAAGGTCCCTGCTATTCCACAATCAAAGAATCTCACAAAAATGAATATTACTACTCTATTTGGAAAGCTGCGAGAACATGAGATGGAACTACAAAGGTTAAAGAACGGTGAACAGAATCAAACCAAGATGATAGCTCTAAAAGCAGAAAAATCTTCACAAGACGAAAGCGAAAATGAAGGTAAGTTTTCGGACTCCGATATGTCTCTTTTTGTTAAACAATTTTCTCGCTTTATGAAGAACAGGAAAAAGAGACAGCAAAGAAAGGAGAAAACAAATAAATTCTATTGCTATGAATGTGGAAAACTTGGTCATATCAAACCAGACTGTCCGAAACTTAAGAAAGAGAAGAAAGATGTGAAAGAGAAGAAGAAAGAGAATAACGATACCTATAAGAGCAAACGCAAAGCTTATATTGCTTGGGAGGATAATGATTCTTCCACAACACAATAGAGTTCTTCCGAAAGCAGTGATGGAGAAGAAGAAGCAAATATTTACTTCATGACAAAAAGTGATGATGAAGCTTCATCACAGGTAAGTAGTACAAAATCCTTAAATAAATATGATAAGTTGTTTAAAGAATATCAAGATATGTATGAAGGTTTTACCAAGTTATCTAAGAAATACAATGCACTTAGACAAAAGTTTAATGCATTAGAAAATATTGTTGGTATTCTTGAAAAAGAAAATGAGTGTTTAAAGAAAGATGTTAAGAAATTTAAAACTTTGTCTAAAAATAAGAAATTGCTAAACCTTGTGAAAATTGTAATCTTTTGGAAAATGAGATTTTCAAGTTAGAGAAAATAATTAGCAAGTTTTCAAAATCTTCTGAAAATCTTGATTCTATATTAAGTTATCAAAGAGGGAATTCCAGCAAAGCTGGACTTGGTTACAAACCCAAAGAAAGTCTAGAACTTTATAAAACTATTTTTGTGAAAAAGTCAAGAAAAACAGATGTGAAACCAGTTTCAAAAATTTGAAGAAACTCATTTAGACCTTTTCAAAAAAAACCACCATGTTTTTATTGCATGAAATTAGGTCATACATCAAATAGATGTTACATAAAACATTTTGACATATCTAATGGCAAATATGAATGGGTGCCTAAAGGAACAAAGTATTTATACATGTCTAGATGATAGTTTAAGCATCTAATTAATTATCGAAATCGGAAATTTTTTTCTTGTTGTCATAATCAATTATGTTGAAAGTTTGAATTTAAGAAAATTTGAAAATATTAAAGTTTGAAATTTTGCGACTTAAGATTCTTGAAATTTGAGATTTTTGAAATTTGAAATTTTGCAGTTTGAGATTTTTTTTAAATTTGCAATAGGAGATTTTTAAAATTTGAAATTTTGCAATTTGAGATTTTTGAAATTTGAAATTTTGTAGTTTGAGATTTTAAAATTTGAAATTTTTTTCAAGAATCGAAAATTTTGTTCTTGTTGTCATAATCAATTATGTTGAAAGTTTGAATTTAAGAAAATTTGAAAATATTAAAGTTTGAAATTTTGCGAGTTTGAGATTCTTGAAATTTGAGATTTTTGAAATTTGAAATTTTGCAATTTGAGATTTTTAAAATTTGAAATTTTGTAGTTTGAGATTTTAAAATTCGAAATTTTTGCAGTTTGAGATTTTTGAAATTAAATTTGAATTGGAATTTGAAATTTAGGATTAGAAATTTGAACTTGAAATTTGGAATTTGTTGGAATTTAAATTTGAAATTTGTTGCAATTTGAATTTGAAATTTGAAATCTGGAATGAGTGCATTTGAATTTGAAAGCTGCCTATAAATAAGAAGACTGCAATTGAGAAAAACTACTGCATTTTATTCTATTATCTCTATAATCATTCTATTCTCCTATCTTTCTCTCTCTTCATTTGTCTTGGGTATCCTAGATATTGCCTCCTTAATATGATATTCTTCTCTATGACACTTTGTAATGCATTATTTTTTCTACCTTGATTTATGTTATCTTCTCTACCTTGATTTATGTACAAATTTGTTCTCAGTTTCTATTGCAATATTTTTCATAATTATCAATGAAACAGGGAGATATTTTGATGATATTAATCTGAGTGAAACAGGGGAAAAAAAAATTCTCTTATAATATTTTTATGATTATCAATGAAATAGGGGGAGATTTTTCGATGAATTAAAATCTGTGTGAAATTCTTTCCTATCTCTAAATTAAACAAGGGGAGTTAAGAGAAGTCTTTGCTCATATGAGTTAGGCGGAGTCTTGTTTATAATATATTCAGGGGGAGATTAAAAGACTCTGACACTTTATACAAATATGTGCTAATCTATGTTAATCTTGAGTTGGCTATACAGAGTCAAGCATTTTAATTCATTTCAGGTGTTTCCTTGATCATCATCAAAAAGGGAGAGATTGAAACAATGAGGGGGAGATTGATGAAAATGTCCTCACATTCCCAAGAGATGATTTTGATGATTATTCAAGTCAACTACATTCAAGTCAACACCATTAAAGATGAATTAAGGACAAGCTGAATTTAAGACGTTGGTGAAAATGTAAAACATTTCCCTACATGCCCAAGGTATGTTTTTGATAAAGATGATGATTCCTGAAGACTAAATAGAATCTTAGAATACTGGATATGGAGGTACAAGTTGATGAAGTAATATTATGCATAAACCTCCAAAGCACAAGTGTGATAAAATTCATAACGTGATATTTTTCATTATCATAATCAATTATGATGCATCAGAAATGAAAATATGATTTTCTCTGTCATAATTTATTATACTGATAACATAGTCAATTATGGCAATTCAAATAATATATCTATTTTGAAGAATAAATATTTTTGAATATATCCTGATTTTTATTCACAAAAATATTAATGTTCAACGACCATTTTCTGATGTTATTTTTCTATTTAATTAAGTTTTGATAAAAAATAAAAAACATACAATTACAGAATTCGAAAATACAATTTCCATTCAATCAGTTTTGAGAAAAGAATTCTGATTAAGGCAACAAAGATATTTTACACCTTCTGAGAAAACCCTCTTCTCTACTGCCTTCTGTGCTCTCATTGTTAATCACTTGTTCTTAGAGATTAGCATTCTACAGGCTTCTACAATTTGTTATCTCCATTACCCAGGTGTGACTGTTCTTATTTTTATTACCTTCATCCTTTGTGTATTGGTGGCAAAGGAAGTACTTTTCATCCCTAGTGTGATTCTAGGGAGGTGTTCATCCTTAGTGAGATTCTAAGGAGGTGTTTTCATCCTTTGATTTGTTCAAAGGAGGTTTTCATCCCTAGTGTGATTCTAAGAAGGTGTTCATCCTTAGTGAGATTCTAATGAGGTGTTTTCCATCCTTTGATTTGTCCAGAGGAGGTGTTCATCCCTAGTGGGATTCTAGGAAGGTGTTCATCTTTAGTGGGTTATCCTTAGTGGGTTTCTATGAAGATGATTGTCTTTTTAATTAGTTTACTTTTTACTGGTTCTTCTGCTGAGTTGATTGTAATTTGTAAACTGAATTTGAAAGATAGTGAATTGGGAGTCACTCGTGTTAAGAGTTAGACTAGATGTAGGGTTGACTATACCCGAACCAATATAAATCTTTGTGTGCTCTTCTCTTTCTCTTATCTCATTCTCTTTTCCTGATTATATTATCGTTTCCGCTTTATCTGTGTTCAAACTAATTATTGACTCACAAATAATTTTTTAATTTGACATTTATTTTAATTTGTGTATCTATTCACCCCCCCTCTAGATGCCATTTGTCTAACATCTCATACTCAAAAAATTACTCTTGAGATTTGGAGCATAGAACATATCTCGGATTGACCCGATTAGACCATCATTCTACAAGAAACAAATAATACCTACCTTTTACCGAGACCTTCGAATCATCTCCAAAAGACACATAATCACCCTTAAATTTCTGTAATTTGATAACAAAGAATTTTCGGAAAACTTACTATTCTTTGACATGCCTCAAATGAGAAATACAATGGTATATTTATATATTACCATAAATATCATAATCTTATCTTTTCAAAATCAAATAATAACCTCCCAAGATATCATCAATATCAAAATACTCCAACAAACTCTTAATTATCTTTTAATTTTATCCCAATAAACTCTTAAACTAATTATCTTATTATCTTTTTAATTTTACCCAACATTATCTTCTTATTATCTTTTTAATTTGATTTTACTCGACATAAAACATCAAAATTACTCAATAAATATTCATTATTCTTTGTGGTAACCAAAATAGACATTGTTCATTCAAATGTACATCTTCAATTTTGTAAAACTTGCATTTATATATGATATTTGACTAAAAAGGGAATTCAATACCTATGAGCAAAGGAAATAAGCAACCCAGGAAAGAGAATATCTCCAAACCCAATCATGTCATAACCTCCCCAGGGATCAAAAAGACGAGGAAATCTTAAAAGCATCGGAATTGCCTCCCCACCAGCCTTGTCACCTCGAGCAACCTGGAAAGGAAAGCCCATGTAAGAGTATGAAAAATCTATAAAACACCAGAATTATCTCTTCCTTTTCAATAAAGCAACATAAGAGAGAGAAAACCGTCCCCCTGAAAAAGAATACATGCGTTAATAGGGGTAGCTAATTTATTGTTTATTACATGTATCTGCGTTAGTCAACTCTTGTATGCAGCCATCATTTTTAGTTAACTTGAACCACAGACTGTGCTAAAACTTGAACCGAACGCTATATGCAGCCCTAATTACTCAAAGATACGATGATACTTGTACATTCACAGAGAATAACTATCTTCTCCATATCCTCTCTCTCTATACCGTAACACAGATAAGTTTAATCCATTTCAGCAGTACAGTTCCCTTTTGTTTATTACTTGACTCGCTGAATCTTTTGCAGTGTAACTTCGATTTTGCTGCTAGCCTGCCTGTACTAGATCTGTACAATCCCAATGTCTGGTGAAGCAGAAGCACATGAGCACAGCACCAGAACAAAAATAAATAAAAAAGAGATGTTCAAATCCATAATTGAAGCCCAAATCAGTTTCCCAACTCACCATCATGTGCCACCCATCTACTACTTCCCTTCATTCATGCTACAGCACGTAAGGATGCATCACCTCTGACAAGGTTTCGTGCATCCAAAGAACATCCACAGAAACCAATTACTTCTCCAAAAGTACATCCTATTTCTTTCCCAAATTGAATTTGAACACTTTAGTGCATGCTCCAGAATTTCCTAATTTCCTTTCAAAGCTCCACCCCGAAAGCACCATAATGCAAAATAGAAAACAATTGAGCATAGTTCTGTGAATTTAGGTTTTAACTGAATCACTCCTATACCATTTTCACAGTTATATGAATATATATATATAGAGAGAGAGAGAGGGGGGTGAGTGGGGGGGGGTTGATTAATCAGCTAAAGGTCATTGTATTTTTCTGTTCAGATTTTGTATCTTTGATATGCTTCTGAAGATGATGTGTCCTCTAACTTCATGTTTCTACTTTCTACTTAACTTTCCTTTTTATCGAGTAAGAGTAAAAGAAAAATAAGTGCTTATATTACACTACCTTTAAAGATGCTAACAGAGCTGAGACAATAGAAGTAAAAGTACTACAATAGTGCTAGGAAAGTAAATACTTACTGCAATCATAACACTCTCGTGGAATATCACTGGAGATACGAATACCCAAAAAATGTCATATACAAAGGCACAACAAAGGAGTACAGTTGCAACCTATTTTATCATGCATAAGAAACTATTAGAGCTGTTTTAATATGCATAACAAATTGAGTAAGAGAAGAATGACTAATTGATTGTAGAGATAAAGAATCCACTCAGGTACCTTAATATTAGGTAATCTAGCCAACTGCAAGACTGTTATCATCAAACAGATGCCCTGTGATGAATCAAAGCAATAATTCAAGTGAATGGCACACAATGAAACATCAGATAACTATCATCAGCTAACGATGTCAAATATAATCGTCATAACAAGCCAGCTTCTAGGTTGGCATTTGAGAAAGCGCACTATGGAACCAACCAAGATCCCAATATGATATTTGGTCCATATGTATAGATTTAAACACAGATATTATTGAATGATTTGACAACAACTAATATGAAAATTGGGAATAGAGGAAATTCAAAGGAAATATTGGTAAATATATTCATGGTCAATGAACTACTAACCACTAGGGTAGTTAACTACGGTCAATGAATAGCTGCCTGTTAAATAAATCATTAGATAGTTACACCATTCCTAAACTAGAGGACCCGTTATACCAAGTGTTAGATATGATTAGATATTAGTTGATATTATTTGATATTGTTGAGATATTGTTAGATATTGTTAATCACAATATCAAATAATATCTTTTTATTTACCCTATTTGTATTCTGTTACTCTTTTGAGGAGTACCTTTCTTTATTATAAATACACTGTCCTATGTGTGGTAAATACACAAGGGAAATTAACCCTATACAGTTTTTCCCTATATTCAACATGGTATCAAGAGCTTAAGGTCTCTTGGGATTTTTTTTCGGCTCTGCCACTGAACCTGCAGCTGTCGCCGCCTCCATCGCGCCGCCGCCGCCGCCGTCGCCGCCGCCGCCGTCGCCAGAGTAGCAGTTCGGACCGCCGAGCACAGGGTTTTGCTCGCCTCCTCCGTGCGACCTCCACCGTGGAAGTTTCGCGGTCATCGGAGCAGCCACGCTCCCTCACGCGCCTCCCGAAGCCGCGCCACCTTCTCCCGTTCCGCCGCGCGTGGCGGCGCGTCTCGCCGCCGTTCAGGCCGCCGATCTTTGCGCCGGCGTCGCCTCCTTCTCCTCTCTCTGGATCTGTCCTCGCTGCTCCAATCGGACCTCTTTGGTGTTTTAGGGTTTTTCTCTCTCTTCCTCCATGGCATCTTCCGCTGCCACTTCCAATTCTGAAGTTACCTCTGTCAGCTCCGGTGGGTCTGAGCAATCTGTTTTTACTAATTATGTCAATGTGAATTTACCCATTGATAAATTAGATGGTACGAATTATGCAACTTGGGCATCTGATATTAGACTTTGGCTTGAGAGTCAGGGGTATGTTGATCATCTTACTACCAAGGTAGATGATGTTCCTTCCAATGATCGTGTCCGTTGGAAGAAAGTTGATGCTCATATATGTATGGTTCTCAAGAATACCATCCAATCTTCTTTAAAACAAATTTTTCGATCGTATGGCACATGTTATGACGTTTGGGAACAAGCCAAATTATTATACACCAATGACACTCAACGTCTTTATGGTGTTTGTTACAATCTTCTTGATGTTATTGCTCCTCGAGATAAGGATCCTGTGGCGGATTATGTGGATCCTCCTTCGTCTGTACCTTCAGACAAATCTGCTATCTTCAATGATTTTCTTCAATGGTATGAGGATCGAAAGCCCTCCAGTTCCACTACTTCTGTTGCCCACACAGGTACATCTTTTGCTGGTCTGACTCACTCTTCTTCTATTGGCCCTTGGGTTCTTGACTCGAGCGCCACCGATCACATCACCTGGTAACAAATCCTTATTTTCCTCTTTCACTTCTTCTCATAATTTACCCTCTGTTACAATGGCTAATGGGTCTACAACTTTAGCTCATGGTGTTGGAACAGTTACTCTTTTCCCTCGTTATCCATTGATAATGTTTTGTATGTACCCGGTCCCCCTTTAACTTATTATCCATTAGCCGTCTAACTCGATCTCTTGATTGTGTTATCTCTTTTACCAAAACTTCGTTTCCCTACAGGACCGGAGCTCGCAAAGAGTGATTGGCACCTGGATGTGAGTCACATGGACTTTATTATCTTCAACCTTCTCCACATGTTGGCACAGCTTATGGAGTCTCCTTCTCTCCTTCATGCTCAGCTTGGTCACCCCGGTCTGCGCAAATTACAGCAACTTGTTCCCAGCTTATCCCAGCTTGTCCAATTTGGTATGTGAGTCCTGTCAGTTAGGCAAACATAGTCGTACTTCCTTTTCTCGTAGTGTTTCCCAGACGTGCTTCATCCCCCTTTGCCTTAGTTCACTCGACATTTGGGGACCCAGTCGTGTTAAGTCTAATTTAGGTTTTCAATATTTTGTTACTTTTATTGATGATTTCTCTCGTTGCACTTGGTTATTTTTAATGAAAAATCGTTCGAGTTGTTTTCTATATTCCAAAACTTTTATCATGAAATTAAAAATCAATTTGGTGTCTCTATTCAAACTTTTCGAAGTGATAATGGCCGTGAATATCTTTCAAACTCGTTTAAACAATTTATGGCTTCTCATGGCATTCTTCATCAAACTTCCTGTGCTTATACCCCTCAACAAAATGGGGTGGCTGAGCGCAAGAATAGACACCTTATTGAAACAACCTGTACTCTTTTAATTCATGGTGAGGTTCCTCAACATTTTTGGGGTGATGTCGTTCTTACCGCCTGTTATCTTATTAATCGTATGCCCTCTTCGGCTTTAGATAACAAAATTCCCCATTCTATTTTATTTCCTCATGACACTCTCCATCCTTTACCTCTGAAGGTTTTTGGGTCTACCTGTTTTGTCCACAATTTTGATCCGGTCATGATAAGTTATCTCCTCGATCACACAAATGTGTTTTCTTAGGATTTACTCGATCCCAAAAAGGATACAAGTGTTTTTCTCCTTCTCTTAATCGCTATTTTGTGTCTCGCAGATGTCACCTTCAATGAGTTTTCCTTTTACTTTAAGGACCCTTCCCTACCTGCGAGTCTCCATCTCGCTACAGCTTCCCATTCCTGTTCTCATTGATCCTTATGTTGAGGACCATCCACCATTAGTCCCTCCTCCTCCACCACCCCTTCAGGTTTATAGTCGCGAGACCTCGCCCACAACAGACGCCACATGACTCACTCCCAGTGCCAAATACTCGCCTCCTCCGGCTTCGTCCACGAGTCCGACCTTCCTATTGCCCTTCGTAAAGGTACACGTTCTACTCGTAATCCTTCTCCACATTATACCGCTTTAAGTTATCATCGAATTTCTTCACCATTTTATACCTGTCTCTCGTCTATTTCTTATTTGTCTATTCCTAAATCGTCTCTCGAAGCCTTAGCCCACCCTGGTTGGCGTCAGGCCATGCTAGATGAACTCGGTACTCTTCGGACTAGTGGAACCCGGACGCTTGTCCCATTACCATCCGGAAAATCTGTTGTTGGTTGCAGGTGGGTCTTCGCTATCAAGGTTGGTCCTGATGGTACTATTGATCGCCTCAAAGCTCGCCTTGTAGCCAAAGGCTATACCCAAATTTTTGGGTTGGATTATGGTGATACTTTCTCTCTAGTGGCAAAGATGGCTTCGTTCGTTTATTCATTGTCATGGCTGCTATTCAACAATGGCCTCTTTATCAACTCGGATGTCAAAAATGCTTTCTTGAATGGCGATTTGCAAGAAGAGATTTATATGGAGCAACCTCCTGGATTTGTTGCTCGGGGGAGTCTTCTGGATTGGTATGTCGTCTTCGCAAATCTTTATATGGCCTAAAACAGTCTCCTAGGGCCTGGTTTGGAAAATTTAGCAACGTTGTTCAACAATTTGGCATGACTAGAAGTGAGGCGGACCACTCGGTCTTTTACCGATCACTCGAATGTCGGATGTATCTATTTGATAGTGTATGTCGATGACATTGTTCTTACGAGTAGTGACCATCATGGCATCTCTCGATGAAACAACACCTTTGCCACCATTTTCAAACCAAAGATCTTGGCAAACTCAGATATTTCTTGGGTATTGAGGTAGCACAATCTACCGATGGCATTGTTATATCTCAAAGAAAGTATGCATTGGATATTCTGAGGAAACCGGGTTGATGAATTCAAAGCCTCGTTGACACACCCATGGATCCTAATACCAAACTCTTGCCAAATCAGGGGGAGCCAATGTCAGATCCTGAACAGTATAGAAGATTAGTTGGAAAATTAAATTATCTTACAGTTACTCGCCCTGACATTTCCTTTGCAGTCAGTGTGGTGAGTCAATTCCTCAATTCTCCTTGTCAAGATCATTGGAATGCAGTCATCCGTATATTGAAGTACATCAAAAAGTCTCCTGGAAAAGGTTTGGTGTATGACTCCCATAATCATACAAGAGTTGTCTGCTATTCGGATGCCGATTGGGCAGGATCTCCTCTCGATAGAAGATCTACATCCGGGTATTGTGTTTCCATTGGTGGTAACTTGATCTCATGGAAAAGTAAGAAACAAAGTGTTGTGGCAAGATCCAAGTGCGAAGCGCAGTATAGAGCTATGGCCTCAGCTACCTGTGAACTTATTTGGCTCAAGCAATTGCTTAAAGAGCTACAATTTGGAGATGTCACTCAAATGACACTAGTGTGTGACAATCAGTCGCTCTCCATATAAGCTCTAATCCTCGTCTTTCATGAGAGGACTAAACACATTGAGATTGACTGCCGTTTTATTCGGAAAAGATTATGTCCTGGAGACATCAAGACCGAGTTCGTTAACTCATGTGATCAATTAGCAGATATTTTCACTAAGTCTTTACTGGGACCTAGGATGGATTATCTTTGTACCAAGCTAGGCACATACGATTTGTATGCTCCAGCTTGAGGGGGAGTGTTAGATATGATTAGATATTAGTTGATATTATTTGATATTGTTGAGATATTGTTAGATATTGTTAATCACAATATCAAATAATATCTTTTTATTTACCCTATTTGTATTCTGTTACTCTTTTGAGGAGTACCTTTCTTTATTATAAATACACTGCCCTATGTGTGGTAAATACACAAGGGAAATTAACCCTATACAGTTTTTCCCTATATTCAACACCAAGAATATTAGTTTTTTTGTAATTTCTCTAACATACATACACATGGATGCACCAGTGAGTGTGTAGTTATTTGAGCATATCTATGTATATATCAAAAGTGAATTAAGATAAATATATACAAAATGTGAAATAGGAATCATCCACAAATAAACACTAAGACCTAGACTAAAAACCAATGCAACTTCTGCCCTAGTTCTTCATACAAAGTTCCCGATTTCCAAAGACAAGTGATCGAAATTTCTTACTCTCAAGCATCTCGAACTATATAACTGAAATAATAATAATAATAATAATAGAAAGACCTCTCATGCAGCTGACCAAAATCTGTAACTTACAAGAATATCTTGGCCAATCCATGAATATGATTCTTGTCGCGTAGCAGCCCAGAAAATTGCAAATGCCACACAGAATAACAATACTACCAGTGAGAAAATAGAAATCTCACCAAATAGAGGTAAGCTCACTATCTTCTGACCACAATTTTGGCCTTTTCTGCTCATTGAAATTAAAATAAAAACAGAAATTAACAAAAACCATGGCATGCAGAGAGAGCACTGAGCAAATTTTCAGGCCAGAAAAAAAGAGATATTGGTTGTACCTTAAAGCAAGGCTTACAATACAATTGTGCATACCCTGGAAGTGAAAAACATAAAATTAACATACAGAGGAATATTAAAGCTTAAGATTGTGTATGTTGATGACAATAATGGTGCTGGTATTAGTGCTTCTAAATTCTTTATCTCAAGAAACTTTCACTCTCTTCCTTTCTTTTCTTACCTTTTTATAACTTATATGTAATCAACAAAGTTAATGCAGCATAATCTGATTGGTGCATGAGTCAAATGCTTAAATTGCTTGTTCAAAATTTAAAATTATTTATGGACTGCAAATTTAATCGTGAAAGATTCAAAACCAATACATCCTCTTCATGCACACCATGAAGTGTGACTTTTTGCTGATTAGCGAGAGTGCTAGAGTAGGGGGAAAATTCATGGAAATAAACTACATTACCTCAATACCACCGATGCAGAAAAGAACTATCAGCACCCAGACAAACCAAGATGACATGAAGAAGAACAATAGCACAAGAAAGGTAGATGCTGCTATGACAAATATGATGGCACCCTTTGAATCAATATTAACAATTTCCTTGTCAAAATCATCTCTCCCTGTTTCAGCATTTGAAGATTCCTAGCAAAAGAAAAGAAACATATGGGTACAAATTATTACACTTGAACATGTGTTAAAAGTAAACTTAAGAAAATGTATCAGTAAACAAAATGGAAGGAAGAAGGAGCACTACTGTAATCGAGTGTAAAATTCATAAAAGTTAGGTGGTATCTGGTTCATGGTATTTGATTCCCAGGAATAATATAGTGAGGAATGTTATCTTGGGTAAATCAAAGTAAACATGTTTGGATAGAGTTTAACATATTAGGCGGGAGAATTTTAAGGCTTAAGTCCCATATCAAGCAGCTTATCCTGTGGGAATCAGCCATGAAAACTGTTGAATATAGGGAAAAACTCGTATAGGGTTAATTTCCCTTATGTATTTACCACACATAGGGCAGTGTATTTATAATAAAGAAAGGTACTCCTCAAAAGAGTAACAGTAATACAAATAGAGTAAATAAAAGATATTATTTGATATTGTGATTAACAATATCTAACAATATCTCAACAATATCAAACAATATCAACTAATATCTAATCATATCTAACACTCCCCCTCAAGCTGGAGCATACAAATCGTATGTGCCTAGCTTGGTACAAAGATAATCCATCCTAGGTCCCCGTAAAGACTTAGTGAAAATATCTCGCTAATTGATCACATGAGTTAACGAACTCAGCCTTGATGTCTCCAGACATAATCTTTTCCCGAATAAAATGGCAGTCAATCTCAATGTGTTTAGTCCTCTCATGAAAGACAGGATTAGAGCTTATATGGAGAGCAGACTGATTGTCACACACTAGTGTCATTTGAGTGACATCTCCAAATTGTAGCTCTTTAAGCAATTGCTTGAGCCAAATAAGTTCACAGGTAGCTGAGGCCATAGCTCTATACTCGCTTCGCACTAGATCTTGCCACAACACTTTGTTTCTTACTTTTCCATGAGATCAAGTTACCACCAATGGAAACACAATACCCGGATGTAGATCTTCTATCGGAGGGAGATCCCGCCCAATCAGCATCCGAATAGCAGACAACTCTTGTATGATTATGGGAGTCATACACCAAACCTTTTCCAGGAGACTTTTTGATGTACTTCAATATACGGATGACTGCATTCCAATGATCTTGACAAGGAGAATTGAGGAATTGACTCACCACACCGATCGCAAAGGAAATGTCGTGGCGAGTAACTGTAAGATAATTTAATTTTCCAACTAATCTTCTATACTGCTCGAGATCCGACATTGGCTCCCCCCGATTTGGCAAGAGTTTGGTATTAGGATCCATGGGTGTATCAACAGGCTTTGAATTCATCAACCCAGTTTCCTCCAAAATATCCAATGCATACTTTCTTTGAGATATAACAATGCCATCGGTAGATTGTGCTACCTCAATACCCAAGAAATATCTGAGTTTGCCAAGATCTTTGGTTTGAAAATGGTGGCAAAGGTGTTGTTTCATCTGAGAGATGCCATGATGGTCACTACCTGTAAGAACAATGTCATCGACATACACTATCAAATACAGAACCGGAGGAGGCAGAGTATTTGGCACTGGGAGTGAGTCATGTGGCGTCTGTTGTGGGCGAGGTCTGCGACTATAAACCTGAAGGGGTGGTGGAGGAGGAGGGGCTAATGGTGGATGGTCCTCAATATAAGGATCAATGAGAACAGGAATGGGAACTGTAGCAGATGGAGACTCAGCAGGTAGGGAAGGGTCCTTAAAGTAAAAGGAAAACTCATTGAAGGTGACATCGGCAGACACAAAATAGCGATTAAGAGAAGGAGAAAAACACTTGTATCCTTTTTGGGATCGAGTAAATCCTAAGAAAACACATTTGTGTGATCGAGGAGATAACTTATCATGACCAGGATCAAAATTGTGGACAAAACAGGTAGACCCAAAAACCTTCGAGGTAAAGGATGGAGAGTGTCATGAGGAAATAAAATAGAATGGAGAATTTTGTTATCTAAAACCGAAGAGGGCATACGATTAATAAGATAACAAGCAGTAAGAACAAGCATCACCCCAAAAATGTTGAGGAACCTCACCATGAATTAAAAGAGTACGGGTTGTTTCAATAAGGTGTCTATTCTTGCGCTCGACCACCCCATTTTGTTGAGGGGTATAAGCACAGGAAGTTTGATGAAGAATGCCATGAGAAGCCATAAATTGTTTAAACGAGTTTGAAAGATATTCACTGGTCATTATCACTTCGAAAAGTTTGAATAGAGACACCAAATTGATTTTTAATTTCATGATAAAAGTTTTGGAATATAGAAAACAACTCGAACGATTTTTCATTAAAAATAACCAAGTACAACGAGAGAAATCATCAATAAAAGTAACAAAATATTGAAAACCTAAATTAGACTTAACACGACTGGGTCCCCAAATGTCGAGTGAACTAAGGCAAAGGGGGATGAAGCACGCTGGGAAACACTACGAGAAAAGGAAGTACGACTATGTTTGCCTAACCGACGGACTCACACACCAAATTGGAGAACTGGGATAAGCCGGGAACAAGTTGCTGTAATTTGCGGAGACTCGGGGTGACCAAGCCGAGCATGAAGGAGAGAAGGAGACTCCATAATCGTGCCAACATGTGGAGAAGGTTGAAGATAATAAAGTCCATGTGACTCACATCCGGTGCCAATCACTCTTTGCGAGCTCCTGCTTCGTAGGGAAACGAAGTTTTGGTAAAAGAGATAACACAATCAAGAGATCGAGTTAGACGGCTAATGGATAATAAGTTAAAGGGGGACCCGGTACATACAAAACATTATCAATGGACAACGAGGGAAAAAGAGTAACCGTTCCAACACCATGAGCTAAAGTTGTAGACCCATTAGCCATTGTAACAGAGGGTAAATTATGAGAAGAAGTGAAAGAGGAAAATAAGGATTTGTTACCAGTGATGTGATCGGTGGCGCTCGAGTCAAGAACCCAAGGGCCAATAGAAGAAGAGTGAGTCGACTCAACAAAAGATGTACCGTGTGGGCAATGAAGTAGTGGAACTGGAGGGCTTTCGATCCTCATACCATTGAAGAAAATCATTGAAGATAGCAGATTTGTCTCGAAGGTACAGACGAAGGAGGATCCACAGCAGAGGATTGTGCGGAAGAATCGGCCCGAGCAACTGCAGCAGATCGGCGAGGATAACCATGTAAAGCATAACATTTGTCAATTTTGTGGCCTAGTTTGCCACAATGGTCACATTTGACACGCCCTTTGCCTGGCTTGTGAGAGCGATTACGATCATCACGGTGAGAGGCCAAGGCGGATGAATCATTAGAAACTACAGGGGAATATTGAGAGGTTTACATGGCACCCGCAAAAGGGAGGAACTGGTAGCGGTAAACTCGGGTGTAACAGGGGAATCCAAAATCCGGTCACGAACAGGGCATATTTATCAGGCAAGTCCGTGTAACATCAAAACCATGAAAAACTTTGATCGTTGCTCTAATTCTTGGGCAGGAGTCGAGGCAGGGGGTAATAACTCATTAAATTCATGGAGAAGAGCATGGATCTTACCCACATAATCCGCCACAGGATCCTTATCTCGAGGAGCAATAACATCAAGAAGATTGTAACAAACACCATAAAGACGTTGAGTGTCATTGGTGTATAATAATTTGGCTTGTTCCCAAACGTCATAACATGTGCCATACGATCGAAAAATTTGTTTTAAAGAAGATTGGATGGTATTCTTGAGAACCATACATATATGAGCATCAACTTTCTTCCAACGGACACGATCATTGGAAGGAACATCATCTACCTTGGTAGTAAGATGATCAACATACCCCGACTCTCAAGCCAAAGTCTAATATCGATGCCCAAGTTGCATAATTCGTACCATCTAATTTATCAATGGGTAAATTCACATTGACATAATTAGTAAAAACAGATTGCTCGGACCCACCGGAGCTCGACGAGGTAACTTCGGAATTGGAAGTGGCGGCGGAAGATGCCATGGAGGAAGAGAGAGAAAAACCCTAAAACACCAAAGAGGTCCGATTGGAGCAACGAGGACAAATCCGAGAGAGGAGAAGGAGGCGACGCCGCGCAAAGATCGGCGGCTCGAACGGCGGCGAGACGCGCCGCCACGCGCGGCGGAACGGGAGAAGGTGGCGCGGCTTCGGGAGGCGCGTGAGGGAGCGTGGTCGCTCCGATGACCGCGAAACTTCCACGGTGGAGGTCGCACGGAGGAGGCGAGCAAAACCCCGTGCTCGGCGGTCCGAACCGCTACTCGATGACGGCGGCGGTGGCGGCGCGACGACGTGGCGGCGATGGAGGCGGCGATAACTGCAGGTTCGATGGCGAGCCGAAAAAATCCCAAGAGACCTTAAGCTCTTGATACCATGTTGAATATAGGGAAAAACTGTATAGGGTTAATTTCCCTTATGTATTTACCACACATAGGGCAGTGTATTTATAATAAAGAAAGGTACTCCTCAAAAGAGTAACAGAATACAAATAGAGTAAATAAAAAGATATTATTTGATATTGTGATTAACAATATCTAACAATATCTCAACAATATCAAACAATATCAACTAATATCTAATCATATCTAACAAAAACAAAAGGCAAGCAAAATATAAAGATGACACTTATGGGAATCAGCCATGCCTCGAAAAAATTTAAAACTTATAAAAAACACAGGGAATTTTATGTTCGTAAGTTCATTTGCAAAACTTGAAACACACACACTCTTAATGAAATTATCAGGGGCTAAAACAAAAGAAAAGGTCCAACTGTAAACATACATTTCCCAGTTTAGCATTGCTCAAACTATTAGGAGATTCTTTTTACAAAAGCATGTCCTCACATCCAGAAAAGTGCTTGCTTAAGGCATCACAAAAACATATTTATGTGTAATAAACTTCATTGATGATATAGGGTTGCAAGGAAAAACCTTGGGACACAATTTGTCATAGCGTTCATCAGACTTTTCTGGAGTAGTTAGATCAGACCATAGTGAAGCACATACAATTGTTCCAACAGACATCAACCACAAAAATGCAACTGAGTAGTCAACAAGTGGCCGAGGTGGAGCATATAACAAAATTTCCACTGCAATAGACAACTCGAAATTAACAATCTGTGAGTCAAAAGGAAAATAAACTTGACATCTAGGATGAATAAGCTTGTCTTTATTGATGAAACCAATTTTTTCCTGTACATCCATAGATTCAAATATTCAAATAACACATTGAGGCACTATTAATATTAAATATAACCCGTGTATATGAGAGGAGTGAATACCTATTAAAATAACACATGGTGGCACTATTAGTTTTAGTAAATACTTTTAAAACTTAAACAATCCATGAACCAGAAATGAGATAAGTTAAAGATTTCAAGGTCATATGAGTTTAATTGAACATTTGTCACATACTAACAGATTCTTGCACACAGGTAAGATATCTAATATGATTAATCATAATGATTCACGACATATACAATAAATCAAAACAGCACTAAGTACACTTGATATATCTTACAATGCATAAATAATTAAATATATTTAATTATATCCCCCACTAAATAAATAATTTAAATATAAATCTAAATTCAAAAATTTAAGAAACACAAAATATACTAACAACTGGTACAGCCATTTGGCAATCGACCTTGAGTGCACTCAGAATAAAAACTATCATGGTTCAGTTCTTTGGTTTGGACATTTTTAAAACATATATTTATTTTCCCAAGCAAGTTAAATAAATCTAATTATTGTACAAGAATTGTTAAGAAGAGCCATTGGCTTAGTCGTCAATCTGTAACTGGAAAAAACACTTAGGTTCAACTCTTGGTTGAACGATTTTGATGCAATTTATGAAAAAAATTGAGCTACTTAGTAAAAGCAATAAAACATTTCTTTCGGTTCTGTTAGAAGGGTGAGCCTCCAGGCTGTAAATGCGACTTTGTTTCTTAGGTCAACCCCTTCTGTTAATCAAACTAGCATCCATCTGATTAATTTTTTTCATTGGAGGTCTTCTTCTCACTTAACCAAGCCACTTTTAGTCTTCTCCAAATGGGTGGAGAATAAATTCTTTAATGAATAGAAGAGAGGAGAATGCACTATTCTCATATACATGTTACTAGCAACAACAAACGATCAAGTCATATCCCATTAGGCCCAGTCAAGTCTATAGTCACAAGCAACAGCAGCGAAGTCAAATACACATTTTAGTATGGCCAAAAAAGAAGAAAAAAGTTATATTATTTGCATCTTAGAAGTAAACAACATTTTTAATAGATACACAAGCCTAAATACTTGGTCAAAAACAACAATTGTACAAATAGATGTTCAAAGAATTGAAGTCCTAACCTTTCCTTCCAGATGTAAAAGATTTGTTTAGACCTTCTCCTGCTGACTTTGTTATCATCACAACTGGAATTGAAATGTTTGCCTCACTGCTATTGGAGCAAACCATCTCAAAGAGATCTGGAAAAAGTAATAGTGATATTGGACTAAATATGATTATATAAAACTTTGTATCGACTAAAGCAAAAAATGAAAAGAGTGTAAGTCATTAATTGCAATGAAAGCAATGATTCAACAAGTAAATTGTATCCTAAAACATTTAGTGGACAATGCAAGATGAAAGCAATAGCGGTAAAAAGGCCGTGTCACTTTGTCCATGCCTGTATTAGTTGCTTTATTACTCAGTACTCATTTCATCTTTCCATCATGTATTGAATGTACGAAAGACTTGTCGGCATCTTCATATACATGAATATGCGTAAGTATAGAAAAATGTGTCTGCAACCCATTCTACCGCTGATTGTAAATGAGTTGGGAATTCTCAGGTCTATCAAATGATTTGGACAGCCTTACAGACCCTCTCTACAAATTAGACAAAATAGGAAAACAGCGTGTGAAGCACTAAAACAGACCTTCTGCGTCATTTATTACCAACAAGCCAGTAGCACCTCCAGACTGTGCAAATTCAGCTTTGACTGTGAAATCACAACCGCCACGCATACAGAGAGCAAGTGATCCGGACAACTGCAAAAAAAGAGGAAAGCATAACTCACTCGACATGCTTCTTGAGAAAAACAATATACCCCATTTCCGTCAAATATAAGAAAATGTATTAAAGCGTAGATGAAAAGAAGAGGGGTGGAAGAGGAAGAAATGAAAGAAAAAGAACCTTCGAAGTTGAACTGGAACAACAGTCTACAGGATTAGAGAAAACAGCAGGAGTTCTGACACTGTTTTCAGGCTTCTCAGGCAATAGGGAGCCAAATCTGGCAGTGACGCCATTATAAACACGGCCTTCCTCACCATCAATCCAGTTCTCCACCTTCACCTGCAGCCAGCAAAGGCAGTAAATAAAATAATATAAAATTGTGATGGGTTTAGTAGAGGAGATTGAAACGGAGTAGAAGAGAAGAAAAAATGGGAGATCGAACCGAAGTAAGAAAAGAAGAATTGATGGAAATAGAATACCAATTGGAAGGGGTTATTGCAGGATTGGGACTTGGGAGCCCTCTGGTCATCGCGTTTGGCATCGTCGGCAGCGGCGACAATGAGAAAAAGCAGTAACAGCAAAACGCGGAGGCCAGGAGACGACATCGTTTTGGTTTGCGTTGGCATCAGATGAAGACTTTGATAATTTGTTGTTTTCTCTCTCTCTCTGTCGCTCTCTCGCTCGCATGGAGCAGGGATCCAATTCAAATCAATTGAAGAAGGTAATTCACAGAGTGGCTGAGCCTCTCCTCACTGCCTCCACTCGACTCGTCTCCACTAAGCTCTGCACAAAACAAAACTCGAACTCCGATTACAACAACTCTTTCATCTTCTATTTTTAATTAATTATTATGCGAGGTGCCGTGCGCTGCATTTCTCAATCATCGCCAAAACCATCCTACGGCTACTATTTATTTCAGTTTTATCCAATATGTCCACCCATATGCAAATTTCCTACTTACTCCTTCCTTTTACTCTTCTCATTTACTCTATCCATGCTTCCCATTGTTTTAAAAAAATAAAATCTTTCACAAAATAGTTAACGCCATAATTATAATTAGTTCTTTCAATGAAGCCAGTTAATATTTTTTTCTTCAATCTTAAAGTAGATTGATTGAGGAAATAATACACGGAGTGAAAACGGGTTAAATAGAAGAAACCACAGTAAAATTTTGTCTAAAGTAATACGTATTCGTTTTTTAATTATTCAAATAGTAATACATTGTATGTTTTATTTACTTAGATAGCATAATTTTTTTTAAGTTGAGAATTTGATTTTCTAAAATACGTTGTATTTCATCATTTGTTTCAAACAATTTAGAATTTAACTGAATTCTGATTAGTTTTCTTTTTATTTTATTAAAAAAAAAAACTAACTAATATATATATATATAATATGTTATAATATTTTATTTAATATTTATAATTTTAAATTAGGTATTTAAAAAGATTTGTATATTTCTAAAATTAATAATATATTTAGATTTATTGTTGAAAGTAGTAAAATAATATTTTAAAAATATATTATTAAATATTATATTTAAATTTATTTGTATGATTAAACTTTTTTTAATTTTTTGATTTATTTGAGATTATAAATTTTTTAAAAATTAATAACAAATTAGGAGGATAATAAAAATCTTAAAAATTATATGTATATAAGAAGAAATAATATTTTGATGTAAAATTATATATATATATATATATATATGTATATATATATTCTAAAATATAATTTATATTAATTACTATAATATAAAATATGTTTCACGTTAACCGCTATTATATGCTCACATATAAGAGCGGTTCCGCTTTAACCGCTATTATAGTTGAAAAACTAATGGATTATTTCAAAAAGTAATCGATTAGTTTTTTCATATCGAGAACTGGTTATTTTTTTATATAATTGATTAGTTTTTAAATAATAAATTATTTTTTCAAATATATATTAAATAATTATACATAAAAAAAATATATCAAATTAAAATTAAAAAAATTTATTTTTAAATTATATATATTATATAAATTATAAATATAAAGTTAAAAAATTTATATTTAAAATTATAACCTAAAAAAATTATGATTATAAAATTAATAAAAATATAACTATTTTTAATGTTAAATAAATTATATATATCATATAAATTATATATATATATATATATATATATATATTACATAAATTAAAATTACATATATAAACTCTAAATTACTTTTATATATAAAATTTACATAAATAAAAATAAAAATTATCAACTTAAAAATAAATTATATTTTAATATATATATATATATATATTTATTTATTTATTCTCCAAATTATAACTTATTTTCATTTCTATAATATAATATATATATATATATATATATATATATATTTAACTATTCAAAAAACTAATCGATTATTTCAAAAAGTAATCGTTTAGATTTTTCATATGAGAACCAGTTATTTTTTTAAATAATTAATTAATTTTTAAATAATCAATGAGTTTTTCAAATCTATATTAAATAATTATAAATAAAAAAATATATCAATTTAAAAATTAAAAATAATTATTATTTTTATTATCCTCCTAATTTATTATTAATTTCTAAAAAATATTACAATACCAAATAATAAACAAAAATTTAAAAAAAGTAATCATACAAATAAAATATAAATATGATATTTAATAATATCTTTTAAAAATATTATTTTAATACTTTCAACAATAAATCTAAATATGTTTTTAATCTAATAAATATATAAATCTTTAAAAACTATAAATTAAAATTATAAAATTTAAATAAAATATTATATAGATATATATATTATTTAATGTATATTTGAAAAACTAATCGATTATTTCAAAAACTAATCGATTAGTTTTTCAATTACTCGATTATAATCATTTCTTACCTATTAAAATATAATTTATTTTTAAGTTGATAAATTTTTTTATTTATGTAAATTTTATATATAAAATTAATTTAGAGTTCATATATGTAATTTTAATTTATGTAATATATATATATATATATATATATATATATAATTTATATAATATATATAATTTATTTAACATTAAAAATAGTTATATTTTTATTAATTTTATAATCATAATTTTTTGAGGTTATAATTTTTTGAACTTTATATTTATAATATATATAATTTTAAATTTTTTTTAATTTTAATTTGATATATATTTTTATTATAATTATTTAATATATATTTGAAAAACTAATTGATTATTTAAAAATTAATCAATTATTTTAAAAAATAACTCGGTTCTCAAGTATGAAAAAACTAATCGATTACTTTTTGAAATAATCGATTAGTTTTTTAACTATAATAACGGTTAATTTGGAACCGCTCTTATATTTGAACATATAATAGCGGTTAAGGTAGAATCGCTCTTATATTTGAACATATAATAGCGGTTAAGGTGGAATCTGGGTTCTCTTCCTTTATGATATTGTAGTAATAATTTATTAACTCTATAATTATAATTTATATAATATATATAATTTATAAATATTTTTTTTAAATTTTAACTAGATATATATTTTTATTTGTAATTATTTAATGTATATTTTAAAAATTAATAGATTATAGTCGATTATTTGAAAAACTAATAGATTATACTCAATTTTTTGAAGAAGTAATCGATTATTTGAAAAATTAATCGATCATAATTGAATAATTATAACTTAATTAATTAATTGTTTAAATATTTTTTCATATTTATATTAAGTAATATATATATATATATATATATATATATATATATATAATTTTATAATGTTTTATATAAAATTTATAGTTTTAAAAAGAATTATGTATTTATTAGATTAATAATATATTTAGAATTATGGTTGAAAGTAGTAAAATATAATTTTTATTTGTATGATTAATTTTTTTAATTTTTTAATTTATTTGATATTGTAATATTTTTTTAGAAATTAATAATAAATTACAAGGAAAATACATATAAAAAGAAATAATATTTTTATGTAAAATTAAAAAAAATTATATTTTAAAATATATATATATATATATATATATATATATATATATATATATCGTTAGTTTTTCTTTCTTATCAAAATAAATCGAATTCTAAATCAATTACTTTTTTAATTACTCCATTATGATCAATAAAATTTTCCAATAATCGATTATATTTTCAAATAATTGACTTTAGATAGCGGTTCTAGATTTAACCGCTATTAAAAATATATTTTAGATAGCGGTTAACGTAGAACCACTATTATATCTCGCACTTTTAAGAGCGGTTAACTTGGAACCGCTATTATATCTGCACTTTTAAGAGCGGTTATAAAGTTAACCGCTATCATATATAAATGTCCAACGCGGTCTTTGGTCACCACATATTTCATTATGATCAGTTATATTTTCAAATGATCGATTATATTTTCAAATAATTGATTATATTTTCAAATAATTGATTATAATTGATTATTTTCAAATAATCGATTATATTCGATAATTTTTTCAAATAATTAATTATAATCGATTAGTTTTTTAAATAATTGATTAGAATTGATTAGTTTATCAAATAATAGATTATAATTGATTAATTTCTCAAATATATATTAAAAAGTTATAAATAAAAATATATATTAAATTAAAATTTAAAAAAATTATTTATCAATTATATATTATAAAAAATTATAATTATATAATTAAAAAAAACATTTTTATAATTATATCCTTAAAAAAAATTATAACTATAAAATTAATGTTAAATAAATTATATATATTATATAAATTATAATTATATATAGATATATTACTTAAATTAAAAACTTTAAATAAATTATATATATATATATATATATATATATATATATTGCATAAATTAGAATAATAATTAATAATTTAAAAAAGTAATTGATTTAGAATTCGATTTGTTCGCAATTGAATCCTAAATAGATTTTTTTATTTTGATAAGAAAAAAACTAGTATATATATATATATATATATATATATATATATTATAATATTTTATTTAAAATTTAAGATTTTAAAAATATTTATATATTTTTAAAATTAATAATATATTTAGATTTATGGTTAAACGTAGTAAAATAATATTTTTAAAATATATTATTAAATATTATATTTATATTATTTGTATTGTTAATTTTTTTAAATTTATTTATTTATTTGATATTGTAATATATTTTTAAGAAATTAATAATAAATTAGCAGGATAATAAAATTCTTAAAAGTTATATGTATATAAGATGAAATAATATTTTGATGTAAAATTATATTTTTGAAATGTATTTTTTTCTTATGTTTTTGTAATATTTTGAATGATATATATATATATATATATATATTAAATATAATTTATTTTTGAGTTGATAATTATTATTTTAATGCATACATTAAGTTGATAATTATTATTTTAATGTATACAATAAATAAAAATATATATATATATAATAATAATTAATTTGAAATTAATATATGTAATTTTAATTTATGTTATATATATAATTTATTTAACATAAAAAATAGTTATTTTTCTTATTAATTTTATAATTATAATTTTTGTAAAAGTTATAATTCTGAATATAATTTTTTTAACTCTATAATTATAATTTATATAATATATATATATAATAATTATTTAATATATATTTGAAAAACTAATTAATTATTTAAAAATTAATCAATTATTTAAAAAAAGAACTTGTTAACGTGAAAATCTAAGAGCGGTTCCACGTTAACCGCTATTATATGTTCAAATATAAGAGCGATTCCACCTTAACCGCTATTATATGTTCAAATATAAGAGCGGATCCAAGTTAACCGCTATTATAGTTAAAAAGCTAATCGATTATTTTAAAAAGTAATCTATTAGTTTTTTCATACTGAGATCCGGTTATTTTTTAAAATAATTGATTAATTTTTATATAATCAATTAGTTTTTCAAATATATATTAAATAATTATAAATAAAAATATATATCAAATTAAAATTAAAAAATTTATTTTTAAATTATATATTATATAAATTATAAATATAAAGTTCAAAAAATTATATTTAAAATTATAACCTTAAAAAATTATGATTATAAAATTAATAAAAATATAACTATTTTTAATGTTAAATAAATTATATATATTATATAAATTATATATATATATATATATATATATATATTACATAAATTAAAATTACATACATGAACTCTAAATTAATTTTATATATAAAATTTACATAAATAAAAAAAATTATCAACTTAAAAATAAATTATATTTTAATAAGTAAGAAATGATTAGTAATCGAGTAATTGAAAAACTAATCGATTAGTTTTTCAAATATACATTAAATAATATATATATATATATATCTATATAATATTTTATTTAAAATTTATAATTTTAATTTATAGTTTTTAAAGATTTATATATTTATTAGATTAAAAACATATTTAGATTTATTGTTGAAAGTATTAAAATAATATTTTTAAAAGATATTATTAAATATCATATTTATATTTTATTTGTATGATTACTTTTTTTAATTTTTTTTATTATTTGGTATTGTAATATTTTTTTAGAAATTAATAATAAATTAGGAGATAATAAAAATAATTATTATTTTTAATTTTTAAATTGATATATTTTTTTATTTATAATTATTTAATATAGATTTGAAAAACTCATTGATTATTTAAAAATTAATCAATTATTTTAAAAAATAACTAGTTCTCGTATGAAAAATCTAAACGATTACTTTTTGAAATAATCGATAGTTTTTGAATAGTTAAAAAAATATATATATATATATATATATATATATATATATATATTAAAATATAAATATTTTTAAGTTGATAAATTTTATTTTTATTTATGTAAATTTTATATATAAAAGTAATTTAGAGTTCATATATGTAATTTTAATTTATGTAATATATATATATATATATATATATATATATAATTTATATGATATATATAATTTATTTAACATTAAAAATAGTTATATTTTTATTAATTTTATAATCATAATTTTTTTAGGTTATAATTTTAAATATAATTTTTTTAACTTTATATTTATAATTTAAATAATATATATAATTTAAAAATAATTTTTTTTAATTTTAATTTGATATATTTTTTTATTTATAATTATTTAATATATATTTGAAAAACTAATTGATTATTAAAAAATTAATCAATTATTTTAAAAAATAACCTCGTTCTCGAGTATGAAAAAATTAATCAATTACTTTTTGAAATAATCGATTAGTTTTTTAACTATAATAGCGGTTAAAGCTGGAACCGCTCTTATATGTGAACATATATAACGATGAACGTGGAACCGCTCTTATATGTGAACATATAATAGCGATTAAACCTGAACCGCTATCATACAGATCACTTTTAAGAGCGGTTAAATTGGAACCGCTATCATATATATATTTTGCATAAATTAGAATAATAATTATCAACTTGAAAATAATTTATATTTAATATATATATATATATATATATATATATATATATATATTCTAAAATATAATTTATTTTAATTTTTATAATATATATATATATATATAAATGAAAATAAGTTAGATTTTGGAATATATATTTTATATTATAATAATTAGTATAAATTATATTTTAGAATATATATATATATATATATATATATATATATATATAATTTTACATTAAAATATTATTTCTTCTTATATACATATAATTTTTAAGATTTTTATTATCCTCCTAATTTATTATTAATTTCTAAAAAAATTATAATCTCAAATAAATCAAAAAATTAAAAAAGTTTAATCATACAAATAAATTTAAATATAATATTTAATAATATATTTTAAAAATATTATTTTACTATTTTCAACAATAAATCTAAATATATTATTAATTTTAGAAATATACAAATCTTTTTAAATACCTAATTTAAAACTATAAATGTTAAATAAAATATTATAACATATTATATATATATATATATTAGTTTGTTTTTTTTTAACAAAATAAAAAGAAAACTATTCAAAATTTGGTTGTCGAGAAATCGAATTCTAAATTATTTGAAAAATTTATAAAATACAATTACGTTTAGGTTTTATATTCCAAAAAATTAAATTCTCAACTTAATAAAAAACTGAGCTATCTAGATAAATAAAAACTGAGTAATTAAAAAACGAAGGTGAGTAGAAAAATTTTCAAACCACCGTTGTATTTTCTTTCTAAATTATAATACAATATAAAAATATTACGGTTCAATTATTTGAATGCTTAACAGTGTGATATTAATAAAAAAAGTTTTAATTTTGTATTGTTTTTATTTAAAAGACAAAAATAAAATTTGCTATGAATAGTTAGTTGAGAAATCAGAGATAATAATATATTAGTGAATTGCTTGAAGTAATTGATGCTAATAATTTGATTTAAAAGAATGAAGAAAGTGGGGCATGATGGGCAATGAATGCTGGAGGTGAGAAGAGCAACGGAGCTTGTGGATGCCAGGGTGTGTTGTTTTGAGGGCTGTGTGTTCCTAAACTAAACCTTCTTTTCTTTCTCTCTCTCTCTGAGTTGGAAGAAGATTTTGGAATTAGAATTGAAAAATGTGGGGTTCGGACGACGAGGGGGGAGAAGAGTACCTCTTCAAGATCGTCATAATCGGAGACTCCGCTGTCGGCAAATCCAACCTTCTCTCCCGCTACGCCCGCAACGAGTTCAACATGCACTCCAAGGCCACCATAGGCGTCGAGTTCCAGACCCAGTGCTTGGAGATCGACTCCAAGGAAGTCAAGGCTCAGATTTGGGACACCGCTGGCCAAGAGAGGTTCCGCGCCGTCACCTCCGCCTACTACCGCGGCGCTGTCGGTGCTCTCATTGTCTACGACATCTCCCGCCGCACTACCTTCGACAGCGTCGGTCGCTGGCTCGACGAGCTTAAAAGTACTTCTCTCTCACACACACTCTCTTCTGCTACTAGATCTGATTTTCTTTCTCTTCCTCTGTCAATTTTACTTTCTATTTCTGCCTTTCTTTTGCTTACTACCTTCCTATTGCTTTTCAAATCCAACCCTCTCTTTCCTTACGTTTCCTTCGCCGATCCGATTCTCCTCTGCACCACCACGCCTCCTCATTTATACTTTTTTTCTGCTGTCTACTTTTCTCTTTGATCACCTTTTTCACTGGCTAACCTAGCAGCAACCTTTGAATTTCACAATTCTTTGTTGCCTATTCATTGCAATTTCTATTGGATAAATGCATTCATATATGTAGAGAGAGAGCATATACATAATTGAGTTGAGTATTAAAAAAATAAATTTAAGTTGAAAAGTTGTTGTGTTTTGTAAGGAACTGTGATTCACGGATACTAATGAAGCTATGGTATGGTGTGATTTGATGCAGCTCATTGCGATACGACGGTGGCGATGATGCTGGTGGGGAACAAATGCGATTTGGAGCATATAAGGGCGGTGAGCGTTGAGGAAGGGAAAAACCTTGCGGAAGCGGAAGGATTGTTTTTCATGGAAACGTCAGCGTTAGACTCCACCAACGTCAAGACGGCTTTCGAGATGGTTATTCGAGAGATATACAACAACGTCAGCAGGAAGGTCCTCAACTCCGAAACGTACAAGGCAGAGTTGTCTGTCAACAGGGTCAGCCTTGTCAACAATGGCCCCGCCGCATCCAAGAAAAATCAAGGCTACTTTTCTTGCTGTTCCAGATGACCTGCAATGCATTATATACAACTCGCTCTGTCGCTTCACTTCACTTCAATTTCAATTTTGTTGCTTTATTAATTAAATGGGTTTGTTGGATGGGTTGCATTCTTCGTTGGTCGCTCGCTCGCTATGATTTCAAAACTTGCTGATCTGATCTGTTACAACTGTAAGAAAGACAGGCATATATAGTAACCAAAGTGTTGTCTTCAATTTTAAGAAAACGAAACGGGTATAATTGTATAATCGGGGGTACAAAGAGAGAGCTTGTAATTTCATTTGCAGCAATTGAAAGGGGACATCCGTTTATTTCTTGCCTGTGTGGTTGTTGGTAATGGTTTCCTTGTTCTTTTTTTCTTTTTTCTGAGTCGTCGTGTTCTCTACTCCATATTCTTGCTCCCCGGGACTTGTTTCCTTGTGCATTTGAGTCACATGATCTCCCTGCCTATTAGCTGAGCTGAGCATGGTTAGTTTCCATTTCCAGTTGTATGATTTACGACTGATTTGTCTTTCTGACTAATGTTTGCACTTGGGTTAGTTTAGAGCACAAGGGCTTGGGTTTTCAGTTGATTTGCCCGGTGAATGGCAAATTGGCAACAAAAGCAAGCAACTTGTAAATGTAATCGTAAATTTATACCATTCTGTGGAGACATGCTTTGACTCCTAACTCAAACTAATCACATTTAGAGTTCATGTATTGGGAGGTTGTATTTAGTCAAGTAATGTACCCGGAAGTAGTTGCCTTCAGTTCATACGTTTCTTTAGAATTGACGGATATTTGTGTAAGGCAATGACTTTTTATTTCACCTTTAAAGCTTTTGCCTCCCAGCTTTTTCATTTACTTCCTTATACTTTGATAAAAAAAAATGGTGAATACATCTCTTGAATGACTATGCATCTAGTTATACTTTGATAAATTAACTATTCCTAACTTTTGTATCATGTCATAAACTTGAATACACGTATTAAAAGTTTTGTCAACTCATGTTTATATATTCGATTCAATAGTAGTTGTCGATCCTTTGAAATTTATAATTATATAAATAATATATGTTTAGAGAACTGGGTTTAAGAGTCAACTGTATATCTAATCTAGCCAGTGTGGATGAATTAGAATTGACTACTGGTCAAATTGGAATACCAATTTTGAAGTGTTATTTTGCTTTATATTGTCACAAAATATTTGAAGCCTCAACACCTAAACTAATGATTATTAATTCATTTTGATCACTTTTTTCATTGTATTTTAGAAGAAATAGAATCATGAACTAACATTTGAAAAATATTAACTAACAATCTAAGGGGTTTAACAAATGTTCATGGGAATTTTAACAAGAGGGGTGATATATTATTTTTTATTAAGCATCCCAACTTCCCAAGAACACCACCCACATTTGTGTCTTTGTTATTATTTGTAGTAACTTTTATCTTTTTGCTTTTAATAGCATTCTTGAAAAAGAACTCCAGGTAGTAAGGAGTATTGACATTTGACATAGAAAAACTTTAAAAATAAGTTATTTGACATGTAATTGTTGACTTTTAGTTGAAAAAGAAATGCAATTGTTATTTATTTGGCCGATTAATTTCAAACTAAAACGAGTAATCGTCTTAATATCAACTTAACTCCCACTAATTTAAATAACGATTATGTCTTGATATTGTATAATTTGGATATTTGATATGATTTTTTATTTTAAATTTGGCCTTATAGTTACTGAGAAAATTGAATTTGGATTGAAGATCATGGATTTTTTTTTATATGTTCGGCAAAATGTGATTTTACTTAGTTTTCAGGAGAGATTTTGTTAGATTCCGATCAATATTATTATCACATTGTTGTATGTGTTTTTAATAAAATGTCTTTAGACTTTAAGTCAATATTGAAACTTGGGCATCAGTCACACAATTTTTGGGTTCTGTCATGATCAATTAATATTTCATTTATTAATTAAAAAAATATATAATTAAAAGATCATATAAAAAACTTAAACAATTGAAAATTGTTTAACAATAATGTATTTGTAACTAATAAGAAGAATAATAGGGAAGTGATATCATTAAATTATAAAATAATATATAATTAAAACAAAGGGTTGGTTTTGGACAAACCTTTCTATACTTTTGGAAGAAAAAATAGATAAGTAAAATGAATTTATGAGTTAAAATAATATATATATATATATATATATATATATATATATATATATAACATCTTTAGAGTTTTATATAAAAGCAAATAAATAAATAAAAATACTCTTTAAGATTTAAGGAAACTATACTTAATATTCTGTTTTTAATTATACACATTTTTTCTCAATTTATACAATAATATAATATATCATTTTCATTCATGTATAAACAATTTCCTATATAACTTGAAAGAGAAATTATCAGTATAATGTTAGAAAGAGAAGAATATAAATGTAATTTGGTAAACCTGGAAAATTGTGAATATAATTTACCTTACATAAATTTGTATTCTTAAGCAGTTTAACATTTATAAAAAAATGTTTAATAACACAATTTTATATATTTTCATGTAAATCATAAACTTTATTGGTGGGTTAGAAGTCGCATTTACTTTTTTAAAAATGCCATTTTTAGAGACCATACATGAAAAGTTGGCACTCAGCAATGTGGCTTTTGACAATATGCTACAATTTGGATCAACTGAAGATGAGTTTAATTAGAAAATCCTAAAATTGGAAGATGGTGGAGTGGAGAGGACCATGACACAATGGTGAACCCAATAAGCAATACCACCCCCACCCACCCATCTCTGTCACACTCCCCAACCCAATCCACAACCATTACCTATATCTTTTTCTTCCCACAAATTCTCAAGGGGCACCTTTTAAAAGTCAAATTTTATTAATGATACTCCTCTCTTCAGATTTAATTTTTGTACAACAATGAAAACTTCAAAACAATTCATTATTATATCAGAGATGAGCCTAAAAACATAGATATTGTATAATCTGAACAGTTTTACATTACCCTTTATAACCTCAACTACCCCAAACATGGATAGATCTGAAGAGAGTGAACCATTGAAAATGAGGTGAAGTGAGAAAAAAATGAAAATAGGCTGATACCCATCATGACTTCAGCAGCAATTCTAATGTTCCAGAAGCTTTTGGTACATAGAAATGAAAAGAGAGAGAGAGAATAAGCAATATTTCTTTTCAGTTCCTACTACTTTGATAGCTACGCCTGTGACTGACACATGAAATGAAACTGATAGTGAAGGGAAACACACAGGCTTCTTTATTTTATCTAAAAAAATACATATTACTTTGATTTCACTGTCAGATTGACACTGACACTGATAGATTTATGTGAATATCACTGCTATTGAGACCTCCAATACTTCCTCATCTCAAACCCATTCCTCCCGAATTGATAGTCTTCAAGAGTTTTCTCAATCTCAGACTGTGTGTTCATCACAAATGGCCCATACTGAGCCACTGGCTCGTTCAGTGGCTGTCCTCCTATCACAACAAACCTCAGAGGCTTTGAAGAGTTGTTCCACACGCTAAGTCCATCACCTAGACTCAGAACAAGAACATGATGTGCCACAGTTGGGGATGAACTTTGACACCCGAAAACCCCTTCTCCTTCAATCACATAAACAAAGCAATTCCACGACTCTGGAATGCTCTGATGCCACTCACTTCCGGGCATCATGGAGAAAACAAGGAACATGGTTGGTGTTCGAGTATACACAGGGGATTGCACTCCCATTGCTTCTCCTGCTATCACTCTCACTTCAACCCCATCTTTTTCTGCTGTTGGTATGTTCTCACTTGGAAGTTCTTGGTAGTTAGGCTCTATCCTGGATCAAAATCAAGCGCCAACGCCGTTAAAAGTGGTTCAAAAATTGTTAATTTACTTAACTAGTTACAGGGGTTGGGATATGTTACATTTTGTCCTTGGAGGATAAATTGATCCATAATTGCAATCCCTTGTTGTTGTCTGCTTCTGCGGGCATTTCAGAGTGAATTATTCCCCTGCCTGCAGTCATCCACTGCACACAAAAACACACACACACACATATATATATATATGTATCGTAATGTGTAACAACCCAATTTAAGTAGCACCATTATTAGCCTATTCATATTCGTACCTGAACATCACCAGCTCTTATTGTACCCTTGTGGCCAGCAAAATCTTGGTGAGTAATACCTCCCTGAAATCCATATATAAAGCAAGGTACAGAGGCTTTGGTGATGCCAAACAAGAAAGAACTTACAACCATACTTGAATTAAATTGAGCATAAATAAATGTAACCACACCTCTAACATGTAGGTGACAGTTTCAAAACCTGAAAATGAAAAAAAAAAAAAAAAAAATATATATATATATATATATATATATATATATATATATATATATTTAAAGGAGACAGATGAATAATAAATGAAGTTTGGAAGAGAGAGACGAAGATATGATTAAAAAAACCTCTGTGTGGATGATCAGGAAATCCGGCGGGAGGAGATACTGCAAAGTCAAAGACGTAAGGTGATATTAAAATACTGGTAATGTAATGAAATGTAATGTTGGGTAACATTAAATCCAATGGAAGGTCAACCAAAGCAGGCTTCAACCAAAGCAGGCTTCAACCAAAAAGGTTTCACACCAACACAATAATTCTATTGTATGTACCTGAGAAGTGATCCAACATCAGGAAGGGATCCAAGTTCTTCAAGTCACTCCTGATACAAAAAAGAAAATGATGAATACCACCTACCACCCATATATGTAGGAGGGAGTTTTAGAACAGAAGAAAGTTGATTAACAAAATGCATAGTAGAATAGAATACCTTCCAATGCCTCTTCTAACAACAGCCCCATCCCCTTCATGTTGAGATTTGGCCAAAACCTTCTTGAGAACCACTCTGGGTGTGTTGAAAGCAGAGGAATGATGTGAGTTTGACATGGTACAAGTAGTGGTATTTCTTATAGAAAAAAGAGAGGATGGGGTTGGGGTGGTGATCCTAGAATTGAGGAGTGAAAGGTGACGGGATATTATGGCTCTCATATGATATGTGAGTTGTGAGCATTGGTTTGGATATATATATTGGATTGATTGAGGAAGGAATGTGGAAGGAGAAGAGAAGTCGTAGGCGCAGAAAACAGAAAGATGGCTCAGTTGGGTATGGCTGACTCATATTTGGAAATATAGGGTGGGATCCACTTTCAACAATCATAAACAAAAACAAAAAACATAAACATGACATCATTCTCTTGTCACCATGATGATGGCCTCCTTCTCACTGTTGCGTAATTTCTGGTGCCATTCTAGGACTTTTTAGCCAAAACCATTGAGACCCCAACACTCCATGTGTCATTAAGTTGAGACTATAACTTTTAACTTGTTTTTACTGTTCCTATAATCATAGTTAAGAATTAAGAATTATAGAATCAACTTCGAATTGGATTTTAAATTAAAACTTTACCATGGCCTCTTGGTTCACTCATGCTAAGAAATTATTCCGAGAGAATAATGTTTCTTCCACTTGAAAAAAAAAGTGAGTTCTTAGTCTGTGAGGACGAGACAAGAAGAACAACGCTAAAGTTGTTTTTAGCGTGACAGATGATGTACCGTATCACCATTTACTTGCTGTGTTTCTGCTTCCAAAACTTCTAGGATTCATTAAGTTTGTCTTCAAATAACTTTTTCACGGATTGCATCTTAGTTTACAAAAAGATGCATAATTTGTCTCAAGTACAAAAACCACCATATTTCATAAATTGGGAGAAAAAATTAAAAAAAGAAGAAGAAGACAGTAAAATTCACGTGAATTGGGAAACTTTGAAAGAGAAAATGTAATTAAATCTAAAAAGTTATTTTAAAATATTAATACCTTGTAAAAAGTTCACCCTTTATATTGAATTGAATCAATAGTTAAAACCAAACTAATTAAATTTAAGGTTGGATAGATAAAATATAATTTGACTTGTTCTTTTTTTTCGTTAAAGAAATTTGAATAACTTTCTTCCTCGACGAAGAATTTTTTTTTTTTTAAACAACTTTGAAATATTATTCGATTCTAAAGAGACGCTTGACGTTGTCCTTGGGAAACATTGGAAAAAAATATTTTATTTATTTATTGAAGTGTAGAAACGCAGTGATGAGATAGCTGACATTGTGTGATGTATTAATTGCATAGAGTATACATCATCATTGTAAATTCTACATTTATTTTTCTTTTACAATTCGACAAACCAAAACATACAAACTATTTCTAATCTGTATAAGACTTTGTTAAAAAGTTTATTTCCCAAAGTTATATGTTAAGACAGTTCATCCATCGCTTAAAATACCAAAATTCTCATAAATGAAAACATATTCTATGATTTTAACTCACACCCTATTAATAAATTCTTTCACTTGGAGATATTATTTCACATGTGAATTCCATTATAAATCCACAACTTTTTTAATAGGTGATAAAATTTCAGGAGCTTTTTTTTTTTTTTTTTTTTAAGTATACAAATTTTTACGAGAGGTCCAAGTTTATGTGATTGTTTATAAAAATATAAATTAATTTACTAAAAAATATTGTCGATAAAAAATACGATATACAAGAGAAAATACGTGAATTATCGTAAACTTCTGAGTTTAATTACTAAACTTATGGAGAGAATGATAATGGATAAAGATATGGTAGTAAGGGAGAATCTTTAGTATTATGGAAAAAAATAAAATATTATATATAATGTTAGTATTAATTTCGACATTAATAAGGATCTTTAATATTATGAAAAAAATATATATAATGTTTGTATTAATTCTGACATTAATATTACAATTAATAAAATAGTAAAATTTTAATTAATTAACAGATTCTATTATTAATTACAAATTTATGAATTTAGTAATAATAGTATTGATATTAAATTATTTACTTTTAAAAGTATTCAACATTTTCAAATAACATTATACTAATTAAATTTTTTTAATAGAGTTTGTAAATATATATATATATATATATATAACTATATTAATAGTAAATAAAATTTATTCTTATAATTTTTAATTAGTTTATATAATAATATATTAGAAGTAAATATAATAAGAAAATGAAATATATAATTTTTAATTTAAAGTAATGTATTTAATATTAATTAATTTTATTTTAATTGAAATTTTAAATATTTCAATTCATAATTATAATATAAAACTGATATATAATAGAAAAGCTTATATATAACAATTATTTTTATGCAACTTAAAAATTTAAAAAATATGTAAATATATAAATAAATATATTTAATAATCATTAATAAAATCATACATATTAATATAAATTATAAAATTTTAGAAATAATAATTAAGTACGAAGATATGATAAATATTGCTGTATCACCTTAAAAAGAAGCTCTTCCAATACATTTCAATCAATTTATCATCAATGATATTTGTTTTTGGATTAGGTTTATCCGGAAAAAAATAAAAATCTGCTGGTTCAATAAATTGCGTATGCACAAACTTACTAATGCATGACACTAGAGCTTACAACTATTGGGATGTGTTATAGAAATAAAAACTTTATTTTCTTGTACAAATCAACGTACCAAACTAAAATTTCATTGAAAATTTTGTTACACAAAGTTATATGTTAAAAACATTAAACCGTTTTAAACAATGTATGGCTTGAAATTCACCAATTAAAATACTAAATTTCTCCTAAAATAAATATATTCCATAGTTTTATCTTCTCACCAAAACCTCACATACTACTAATAATTTATTTGAATTTTGTGCTATATTTCGTGTTACCTTTTTAGAAGTATTTCACAAGTTGATGAGTCATTATTTTCCCGCATTTTCTTATCTTTATGTACTTATCTTAATTGGTGCATTGTGTTTAATTGTCTATTATTAGTGCATTTTCATTGATTAAGCTTCATTGGGCCAATAATTTATATTTTAATTAATTTGAATCTATTTGATCTAATTTTTACTCATTATTAATTTTAGGACAGTTTAAAACAATTTTGGACTTGAAAAATTGAGTCAAATGTCATATTTTATTTTATACGGGTACTAACATTAGTTTATTGTTTTATTTATCATTTTTTCTACAGATCTCCAAATAACATGATTCTAAAATAATTATAAACTAGACACATTGAGCTTTCCACATGATAAAAAATCATTCAATTCAAAGCTAAATTGGATTTTACATAAATTATCCAAAACGGGTCAAGTGCACTAGACCGACCCAATGGACATGCTTCAGTAATTTAAGTCTCCTAAATTCATTAGACCTTCGAAAATAGTAGAAACAGTGGCGTTTTAAAGCTAGCTCAAAAGGCTTTCAAAGGAGACCAAAATCGCTTAATTTGGATAAGTATTGAAAATACTTCACGTGTTTGAAGTTCATGGACCTGTACTGAAGCCAATTTATGATGTGTTTCATGGACTAGTTGAGCCCAAACCTCGATTAAGATTTTAGGGTTAGGGTTATTTATATAAGAGAGGCACATCACACAAAAAACACACATCACACAAGGACTACGCAGCCACCACACTTCCACCTTTCATCTTCTGCAATTTATATTCAAGTTTGTTTACTCTTCTGTCATTATTTTTTAAATTCTTGTTTCGATTTTAATTATGTTTATTCTATTACGTTTTCAACTTTCCATGGATAGCTAAACATTTGTATTGATTTTCTGAGAAGAATGCAAGTAGATCTTTGAGGTTTTGTTCTTCAATTTCATTTTGTTTGTTCTCTTAACTCTTCATCTTCTAATCTTAGTGTTGAATTATAATCTGTTTATGCTTAATAAACTGAAATTAATATCACAGTTTGCTTAATTCTGTGTTAGAGATGAGATTATGTGATGTATGCAATGCTTAATTGTATAAGGATAATTTGGGGTTAATCTTCGCTTAGTTGGTTAATTTCATGTTGGAATAAGGGTTAAGGAAAATTTGGGATTAATCTTCGCTTAGTTGGTTCATTTCATATTGGAACAAGGGTTAAAGCTAATTTGAGATTAATCTTCGCTTAGTTGATTAATTTTGTATTAGAATATAATTTGGGATTTATCTCTGCTTAGTTGGTAAATTTCGAATTAATTTCGTAATCTAGGATAAGTGACACTGCATTAGAATCAGAAAATCAATTGCATTTTAATCTGATTTTAATCCGCATTTTTATAATCTGCTTTTGTTCTGTTTCATCTAATATTTTAATTTTGAAAAACTCCCCTTTTTTTGTTACTGTTCTAATTTTAAAAATTGATAAGCTTTTATAGAAATTTGTGGTCTTTAGGAGACGACCTAGGAAAACTTTCTAGTACTACATTTATCTGTTTTAATTATTTGACCGAATACGACATCAATCAAATTTGGCGCCGTTGTCGGGACCAAGATTTTTGTCTAAGTTTTCAATTTTTATTTTCTGTTTCTATTTTCGTTTTTTTGTTTTTAATTTATTTTATTTAAATATTTTATTTGATTTTTAGTTATTTAAATATTTTATTTGATTTTCAGTTATTTGAATATTTTATTTGATTGCTAGTTTTTAATATTTTATTTGATTTTTAGTTATTTGAATATTTTATTTGATTTGTTGTTATTTGAATATTTTATTTGATTTTTAGTTATTTAAATATTTTATTTGATTTGTTGTTATTTGAATATTTTATTTAATTTTAAGTTATTTAATATTTGATTTTCGGTTATTGGAATATTTTATTTGATTTTCTATTTAATTTAACATTCTTACTTCTCTTAATACTATTTTGATAGCCCAAGTGTTGTTCTAAAACTCTTTTGGGTTAAAAAAAAAATAAAAAAAATAAAAAAAAAAAAATAAAATAAAAAATAAATATAAATAAATATAAATAATAATTCAAAAAAAAAAACAATTTCATCTCTAATTTGTTTTTCTAGCTTTATTTAAAAAAAAATTTATAATTTCTATTCTCATAGGAAACTCTGCATATAGCTTGGTAGTGTGAGAGTGCATGTCTAGGAGGGTTTTGGCTAGGAAAGACTTGGTACTTAAGTGTGTCCATTAG